ACTAGCAGCGGGTTCTGACATTGGATGTGGAAAGGTGTGAATACGACGTTCGTCGTCATGAATGGCCATTGGTGGGTAATTTGCATTATTGCCATAATTAATGGCGCATTATATCGGTAACTGCAACTTAGGCTAAAATGCATATGTTGTGAACTGCTGTGGATATAATGAAAGTATAACTTGTAATACAAATATATGATATATTGGCTCCATGTACATTTACTTTAGAAGCAGAAATGGTTGTTTAAAAATGATTGATTGTATTATGTAAATATTGAAAAAAATGAAGATGTATCTATCTATCTATCTATCTATCAAGATTATAATCATTGTTTTCCAGACTGCCAGTTTTGTCATTTATTATAATCGAATAAAAACATTTGCTATTCTTTTTTATGAATTGTGTGTATTACTGTGTCTTTTTAAATGCCTGAATACATGCTAGACTGTCCCTACAAAAAGGGAGATTTCTGTTGGTACGCTAATCCCCATGTGTTTATCTTTGTTAACAATTCATACTTTATGTCACTGTACGTCTCTCAAAAAAAAGTTGTACATGTCAAATTGGAACAGTCTGATGTAAATACAATGTACTTTTTTTAGGCCCTATTAATTTTGGGTTACTTCCGTTCGTACGTCTGGAGCTATATCTCGGACACCCATTGATGGATTTCATTTAAACTGTCTTACATACGTGCGTCAAGTTACTTTTTGATCAGAGAAAAATGGCCGACTGGTGGCCATTTTGGATGTAAAATTTGCTATTTCTGATACCTAAATGTGTCCGCAGCAGTTCCTCAGAGATGACTAGCCGATTTGGATCAAACTTGGTATGATGATCATACATATTGGGTTATAGGGCACGTCATACTTTTTCTATGATTGGAATCATGATTCAAACAAACAAATATGGCCGACTGGCGGCCATTTTGTTTTTCATAATACCCTTTCATAGTGCTACTTTCTCTTGAATGTAATGAACATTTCTGTTTAAATTCTATACGAAGGTAGTATGCCAATGGATACATATGCACCAACATTATTTTTGTGATTCAATTCAATATGGCTGGCTGACGCCCAATTTTTATGTAAAAGCACTATAAATTGTCATTTTTACATGTCCGGAGCCGTTTCTCAGAGATGACTAAGCCAATTTGGATCAAAGCTTGTATGGTGATCATACATATTGGGTTATAGTTGCATATCATATTTTTTCTGTGATTCAAACTAATATGGCTGACTGGTGGCCATTTTGTTTTTCATGTTACCCATGCCTACTTTCCCATGAATGCAATGAACATTTCTGTTTAAATTTTAGATACATCAACATGAACATTATTTTTGTAATTTGATTCAATATGAATGTCCAATTCTCGAGTAAAACCACTAAATCATATTTTTTTACAAATCCATCTCCTATCTAATCTCAATGACTTCATCAGCATCAAATTGATATGTCAGATCACAACATTTTGGACGGGGACTGTGCCATTAACAATGACTTGTTTTGTTTTTAATTTGTCAAAAGTTTGCTATCACATTTTCTAATTTGTAATTTCCAAAGATTAAAGTAGTTTTGTTCCAATCTAACAGTCAAATCTATAAGTAAATAACAATACATAAACAAACAAAAAAACTTATAAAAAAAACATATTTGTATGTAAAATACTTGTAACGGTGATTTGTGATTTTACGCAGGCTAAGTCACAGTAGTGCAGCGACAAGAGACTGTAACCGAGTCTATACTGTCACAAGATCTGGGCTATTTGACCGACCACTTACTACAGAATATTAGATGTACGGAAGCAAAACCCCATCAGATTTGGAGTGACATTTTGTGAGCTTTTATTTAGAATCAATGCAATCCATGACGAAAAACAACTAAAAAAAAGTTAAAAAAACATACTGTAAAATGACTAATTTTCACTGGGTTTAAATTTCACTGATTTACCATTTCAGGCATATTCGGTGGGTTTTAAATTCACGGTTTCGTCATTTAGATATTGTGTTCTATGCTACATTTTACATATTCACTGGGTTTTAATTTAGCGCATTTTTCAGTCAGCGAAATAAGCTAAATTAAAACCCAGTGAATAATTACTCCCTTTACAGTACTTAGAATATGTCGTTGCGGTGTGCATTTGTTAGGTGTCAGGTCAACTGTCTGCTGACCCAGTTGAAATACAGTACATGTACTTGTAAATGTTTATTGGTGGTGCGTTTCCTGTTTAGTATGTTCATGGAGGTTCATGGTATGTTGATCGGGCTAATCTGCACTGGCTCGGAAGGTTGTAAATGATTAGCTAGTTTGAATTTGCATAACAATACTGACAATGAACGTGCATTCAACGCCACGAGTTTTTTTTGTTTTTTTAGCCAATCAGAATGAAATCTCTACACAAGGGCAATTTATCATCATAATTGCAGCATAATCATTTATATTTCAGATGAGCAATAATAACCAAAATAGGGAAGTATACATGAACATGTACTAGTATTTACAGATCTTTTGAAATCAGAAATGAAAATTCTTTACTTTTTATTTTATTATTATCTAAGCAATACAAACTTTCTTTTATTATTTTATTGCTAGAAAGTTAAAAAGATTGTTTTTTAAAGATGCAATAAAGATTACATGTATTATTATTGCCGTCTTGTTCATATATTAATTTGGCGGCATGAACTGAAACACAATTTGACTCCAAATTTCGCGGGAGCTCGTTGTCACTGCACGTCTCCTAACCTCGGTTAAGGTAGCGTGAAGGAAAATTTTAATTTTTTTCTTGATTTTTCAAAAATTTATAAAACGGTTACTTTAGACTTTGACACATCGTCCCAACCTTTTTAAAGATCGAAATTTCGGAAACACGCTGCTCAAATTAGTGTTTTAAATGCTAACGCAAATAACTACAACTGCCGTTTCACGGATATTTGCATAATGTTTATCTTTTGGGCGGTTTAAAGCGCGGTGGTCGTCGCGCAGCGCGTGTTCGAATTTCATGTAAATAAACAATGTATTTTACACGCGTTGTATACGTCGCTATGAGTCCCATATCGAACAGGACGCGACGCGACGACTGCCGCCTTTTAAATGATAACATCTTATCTATACACTATTGTTGACGATTCTGATATAACGGGTGATAAAGAATAAATAATGCGTGTTTATCTTGCGTCCATTGTCAGCACATGCAGGTATAAACCTCCATGGTCAGCATTATTGTCAGCCAAGACAACCGTGTCCTCAACTAAATAACGTTAAAGGGAACCGCTCAATCCCATGGAGTGCACCAAAGAATCATGAATCACTATTGTTTATGTTGTTTACAAATTTAATCTATCTTTTGTTATCCATTGTGATTTTAATCCAGAAAGTAAATTTGTTGTGAGATTAGGCTTAACTGGAAGTGCCCCTTTAACTGCAATTTTCTTGAACGTGTAGCTAGCCCCCCCCCCCCCACTCAGGATCCATAGGGGGCCGCATGCGCGTTCCCATTTTCTCGGGAAAGAGGGTACTTTTTGACGATCTGTCTCGGGAACATTTTCCCGAGAAAATCGTAGAAAAGGGGGTATTTTTTGCTTGTTTTTCCGAGATTCTCAAAATAGGGGGTGTATTTCAAAACACTTCCCGAGATATACAAAAAAGGGGGGTTTAAAAGGAGTTCTAGACTGAAAAGTTCCCTAGATGGGGGGTGAAATTCATCGGAAAAGCCCGTGAAAGGGGGGGTTAAATTTTCTTCTTTTCCCTAGATAGGGGGGGGTCAAAAAATGAGGGAACAAGCATAGCCCCCCCCCTAAATATAGGGAGTGGGGGGGCGGGGTAGCTAGTAGTCGAAACAGAGTTTCTAGCCGTAGCCGTGGGTACAAATCTCTACTTGTGTCCATTCTCGTATTCGTTCCTTGAGATTTGGTACTTTTCATCATGATGTTTCTGCTGTGGCGGCAAAATAAAAAAAAAACATTACAAAAAATCACAGGGAGCCCAGGAACTATAATCAACTGTACGCAGTCTCCATTAAAAATTATGAAAATCGCAACAACCGCATTTACACCCCCTCCCTTAAAGGTATATGAGAGATCACAATCTCTCGTCCCTCGATTGGTGATTTCTTTGCCGATTTATAGATTCCCCTCATATTAAAAACACTGATTATTGCTAGAATTTAGTTTACGCATTTCTCATGAAATATTTGAAAATCTACGACCAAAAATCTATATGGCGTGTTCCTGTTGATAT